GCTAATTAACTTTCCTTTTGTATTCAAACTGATATGCATCTGTATATGCCAGAACATAAGGTGAAGAAACTAGGTTTACACATACAAAGGGTCATACCAGTTTGTTATTATCATCTCCATTGTTATTACAGTATTTTATGAATTGGGTGTCGGTGATCTAAATATATTCTGAAGTTAATCAATAGCTATTATAATAAGCAATTTCATTTATCTAGGTTAATGGTGAATTGGAGAAATCCAACCATGTTAATGAGTTTAAAAACCTAAAAAATAAATTTCAAAATTTGAAATGCTTAATTTTTAAAGCAAGGTATTATCTTTAAATTAAAAAGGAAAAAAAAAATACTTCACCAATTAATTGATATTAACATATTTTCTCTATTTTTACAATGAAATGTCTACAAACTAGCAAAATAATCTGATTTGAAGTCCTTTTATAGGATTGAATGAACTCCGATAAAGAAAAAAATATATTGTTTCCCAAGCATTGACATTTGGAAAAGAAGGCCGATCAGTTGAAAATATTTTTTTAAAACTGTTTTTATACCTTGCTTCGCGAACTTTTTTTTTTTTTTAATTGTCAGAGGAGGGCGGGAAAAAAAATAAAGTAAAATTTTGTTTTCTTCCATCCAAATGGAGGAGAAAATAAAAATAAAATGTTATTGTTGAATGTAAACAGTATACAGTAGTAATGGGATAGTTAAATGCTTTAAATTTATATAATTAAAAAGAAAAATACATACCTTACTTTCTGAGATTTCAAGGTAGCAGTGGGCGTATGAAAAGAAAGAAAAACTTTTATTTTTTTCTGAAATTTCCCTTTTTTGTGGTGGCGATTGTGTTAATTGGCTAAAAATAAAAATTTATGATTTTTCAAAACCATCATTATTCTGACTATTGGTCCATTGCTAATAGTCATTCCTCCCCTTATATTTTGAATGATGAAATAATAACCACAGGGCTAAAATCAGGTTTAATTTATCAAATATTATGTAAAGCTTGAACAATTTTCGGAGTAGTAATAAGTTTATAGCAGAGTTGTCTATGTTTATTATGTAAAGTATTATGACCTTAATAGATGGTAAACTTTGTAAATTGTCAATGGTTGTAGTTTTATTGGACACACCATATGGTTCGTCTTGACAGTGAACAAAACTCATAACTACCATACTGTACATTATGTTGAAGAGACAGACACTCCAAAAAAAGTCAGTCGCTATTTTTCTCCTTTTTAAATTGCCAGAAACATTCAAATATCTTTGCGGCCAGCAAGTTGAATTTACCCTCAAGAATTCAAGAGCTTCACCCCAGGTCCATATTAGTAGAACAAGTTGCCTGCAAATTGAAGATTATCTTCGGCCTGTGAGAAAAAAAATCAAAAAATAATTTGTCCCTTCAAACAAATTAAGAACTAGTGTTGTAGACAGTCAATTAAAACCTTTCTTATTCTGTACTGTTGCCACAATTCTTTAAAAAAAAAAGAAAAAAAAAAAGGAAAAGCCATGTGATAAATCAATATTGATCTTGTACAATTTTACAAACCAATCTTCATTAATTATTTTTGCAGGTTAGATGACCTATCTTCATCTAATGATGACACAGTTGATCTGGTGGACATTGACTTAATTCAACACATGAATATGAATCTAAAGCAACTAACGCAACTACTGACAGGTGGGTGTTATGTAAGCCAACTACTAGGTGCCTAGGTCAGTTGTTAAGACAATTACTAGGTTGGTTGCTTAAAAGTAAGTTTCTCAGAAAAAAACTTTACTGCAGTATTTACACTAGTAGCTTGTGCTTCAATGAGTTACTCCAAATATACTGGGTTAGGGACTTGTTAAGTGCTCAGACAAGACTGTACTAAATGTGCATTAGTCAGTTACTCAGACTACAGTATACTTGTTAGGGACTTGTTACATGTTCGGACAAGACTGTATTAATGTGCTTCAGTCAGTTATTCAGACCATGCAGGTATTATATACCTCTATGCACAGACTATACTTGGTTAGGAACTTGTTAAGTGCTCAGACAAGACTGTAATAAGGTGCTTCAGCCATTTACTCAGACTATACTGGGTTACGAACTTGTTAAGTGCTCAGACAAGACTGTAATAAGGTGCTTCAGCCAGTTATTCAGACTATACTGGGTTTTAGGAACTTGTTAAGTGCTCAGACAAGACTGTAATAAGGTGCTTCAGCCAGTTACTCAGACTATACTGGGTTAGGAATTTGTTATTAGTGCTCAGACAAGACTCCACCAAGGTGCTTCAGTCAGTTACTCAGGCTATATACTGGGTTAAGAACTTAAGTGCTCAAACAAGACTGAACCAGTTACTCAAACTGTATTAGACTAATGTTTGCAAATACTTTTTGTATAAAACTCTCATATTTAATAGTATCATGTCCTTCTACTGTCTCTCTTAGAGTTTTCAACAAAATTAAAGCATGTGAAAAAGTCAGCAATTGCCCAGCTTGTGGTCAGCATTGAAAAGGTAGGTTTATATAAAAGTGATTTTTAAGGATGTGTTGGGATCATATCAAGCATTGGAAACAAATGTATAAAAGGTTCATTAATTAATACAATGAATTTTTGTATGGACAGCTGAAGGCTACCATGCAAAACTGTTTTGTAGGATGTTTAATGGTTCAAGTGGAATGGATAATATTTGTTTACCTTGAGTTGTGTAAAATAATAATGATAATAATAAATATACTGAATGTTTTTATACAAGGAAATACACATTTTTATTTCATTAATTGTGTATCTAAAATGATCATAGTATTGACATTGGATAAGTTATATCTATGTTGATTTCTGTGGAAATGATATTTTACTTATATTAAATTTAGTTAGAGACGTCAAGAAATACTATTTTCCCCCTCCTCTGCAAATAGTTTGAACTTCTATTGAACTCATTTAACATTCAAAAGTGTGTTAAATTGTTTGTGTTATAAGAAACAGATATACATATGGAGGCAATTTCTGTTTCTTACAATCATAGTAATAATTCAAAAAAAAAAGTGAGAGGATTTGTTGATAATGAATATAGGGTTGACTGGATTTGTGACTTTCGTGTAACATTCAACTGTACCAACCACCGTAGCCTTGAATAAGTTGTTCTTTTGTGGACAGCCTGACGCTACTTCATAGAACCCACCCGTTGCACAAGGTTATTTTGATTTAGATAATTAACAAAGCGGAGATGACGAGTCAATTAATTTGCTGGTCATAGAATATTTGACGACACCCTGAGCATGCATGATTGACAAACCCTTCTAACCACCCCCCTGAAAAAACAACAAAGGAAACCATGTAATTGTTGAGGAACCAAGCATATGTAAAGTTGTGTTGGTTTTGTTATTTGGCTGGGAATGTTATTAAAATATACCATATGTACCTTTGATTGGATTTCATCTGTATCAGTGGCTTTTCAATTCAGTTTTCAACTGTTAAAAGTAATTTTTATTGCTGTAAATAAAGATACCCTGAAATAATAGTACCTGATGATGATTGATTATCTAATTCATAATGCAGGAAGCATTATTTTACATGTATAACACCTACCTATAGTCCTATGGCTCGACAAGGATTAACTTGTTTATTCTTTATAACATTTTCCTCTATATCGTTACCCACACTATGTATATGTTATATAACCAATGTTATTAAAAACAATGTTGTTATCTAAAAATGGAAAGGTAACAGCCCAATTTATATTTAGGATGTTAAAGGGTATGAAAGTGAAAATAGACTTTTAATTGATGTGGATAAGTAGACCAGGACGTGACTCAGCAAACCAAGTACTTATGCAAGAGGCCTATGGCAGATAGTGGCTTGGCCATGATATACACAATTGGGCTAGGTTCATGGCTAAGGCCAGGGTTTTTGCGTTGACATTCCGGATTAAAAATAGCTCTTAATTACGTCATCACAGCTATCGTGCGCACTGTTGGTCAGTAGTGACGCATAGAGCGGCGTGGTTATTTTTGTACGATGCCACTTTTGATGAGTTTGTTTCCGGTGCGTTTGTTTCCGGTGCATTAATAAAACTACTCAAAGGCATTCATGCTTGTAGCTACAATTTATCAGATCTGCGGATTGTTAAGTTTTCTTGGAAAAAACTAATTTGAAGGGTGCTAATTGATCCAGCCTCAATGATACCAATTTTATAAGGGGAATGCGTACATATTTACTTCTTTTTCCATGAAACTGTTCAACTTAATGTTCATAGATATTTTTGTAAATAGACATATAAATTAATAAAATTGTTAAATAATGCCAAGGTAATCCAAGGAAGCTCTATTGAGCTTGTGTCAATCACCTTGACAATAAAAGATTAAAACATGATGTCACATTAAGTGTTGATTAAATTTTAAAGTCCATTAATTGTGCGGTGAGGGTGCAGATTTACTGATGTGGTGATGTATAAACTTTGACAAATCTATTTATTTATTTCTAGTACTATATAGGAAAAGCAGGAGAAATTTTGTGTTAAAACCCCAAACCACTTTTGTACAAAAACAGAACTGAATTTAAATCAAACATCACCACATATTATTTGACCACCTGGTCCTAAATCTCAGGTCTCAAGTGATGTGCGACATCTAAATTATAGAGAAAAAACCTTGTTAGAATTAGGTACTAAAATGATGGTGCATAAAACCAGTGAAAGAGAATTAACCTTTTGACCTTCTAGGCATTGATGATATCTCTTTTACGAGGAGTAATATTAATTACTATTATGCAATATATATGCACCATAACAATTTTAGAATAATTTCTCAAAATGCCTAATTTTTAATATTTATAAAATGTAAATATATTTGTCTGCAACCTTTGTTGATTTGCTACTGTGTTGTACAGTACAAGCAACATACTTCATTTATGAATTAATATCATTAATTTATTATCACTTTATTTCTCACAGTACTATGAAGCATTCAATCAATTTTCTTTATTGAGACACAGCAGTGCCTCAGTACTGTATTGGCCAATGTAATATGCCCTTAAGGAGTACCTAATTAAAGAGTAGTTGAGCCTTCAGTTTAACAAATGAATAAGTTCCTTTGCAAGGGGCCAAGGCTGTTGCGTGTTTGTCATCAAAGTGTGACTATGAAAATAAGCCTGCCATTTTCCTTGGTTGGCTCATATAAAAGATAATCCTGCTCTAAAAATGGGCTATATGTTCTTTGGTTGGCTAATATTGGAAACAGTGGCAGTGCCCAAAGAAGGCTCCAATGTCCGACTGGTGTGCCAGCGGGTTAAAATTCCCGTTGCCAAATTTTTGGAGTCACCACTGTTAGGTCCCAAACGGAAACAAGAGCTCACACTGACCTCAGCCCAACCATGTTTGCAGCTAAGATGAGCAAATTTTAAAAACATGCACCTTTAAATGCCCAGGTATGGAACTCTTGGAATGCAAAAATGCATTTTTTCTTAACCAACAAAGGATTGGATTCTTTCTCGTCAGGGGTTCGGAGCTGCCCGATGGGGTTTCTGTTCCACCAGACAACAAATGGTACTGCCACTGATTAGGAGTATGTGGTGCATGGTCATGAGTCTATTGTTGCTTATGGCCTTGGGTGAGCAGTGAGACGCTATCTTTGCCTCTCTTTACTTTAGAGTCCAAAGGACTTGTATAGCAGAAGAATGAGCTCTTCACATAGTTGCATTAAAATTGGTAGAACGTCCATCCACCCATGAGCAGTGTAAATATTTAACCATTTGGCAGAGTGGAGAAAATACAGGAAACAAAAGAACCCAAGCAGCGCCTTTATTATAATTATGCAGCACCACCACTCAGAGTAAAATTGCTCTCTATGGCCCTCCATCTATCCGCAATGCATTTTGACAGGAAGTTCCACTATATCTTTAGTTGTACATATTGTTTGTACTTGGTAGAAATAGGATGTGATAGATCTGGATTGAATTGGTCTATACTGAAAAGAGCAGAGGAGGTGCAAATTGTGTGCAGATGATTCTGTATCCAGTGACCTCGGAAGAAAGTGCTTTGTGAATTTCAAAAAGTTCCTATCCAATATGACCATAACGTAACAAATTGTTTATCTATCCAACGGAATTGAGTCTAGTTATTTTGTTGTTAATCGATTATGTAATATGCCCTTTGATCAATAAATGTTTTCTTCAGCCAATAAAATTACATATTTAAACACTCAAAATTTGTTATGAATGGGGTACAAAAAACAAATAAATCTCACAAACTTGTAAAAGTGACATACAATAAAATACACATCAATCACTTATTATTGAGGATATGCTTTTAAATGTTTAATTAATCATACATTTAATTATTACTCTCTATTGAAATCTCCCAAATTTAATATTTTATAACAATAATTACTATGAATTATTTCTAGGGATTATAGGTTGGATGTTTTGTTTCTCAAGATTATGATAATGCATTGCTAAGTAAGACCCTACAGCAATAAGTATTCACGTAATTGAGGGTTCTCTTCAGTTGCATATCATTGCTTGTCCAGGTGTATAATTAGGTGATTGTGTATTTGCATAATTATGCAAGTGTATTGATTTCGTGTGCATTTTTTTTGATAGGCAATATGGAATTGGATGGACAACTACTCCGAGGTATTTTTGCATCTGCAGACGCATAGTAACACTGAACTTGAAGGTAAGCCTCACAAACATTAAGCAACACAGACCTACTGTACCATGTCACACTCATTGGGAGCCAGACTTGCGCATTCAAGAATGCTTGTGAGGTCTAGCAACAACGACCAAAGCCTTGCACATAAATGTGATACTGCCAAAAAAAATTGTGTAGACCTATTGTAGCTCTCTCACTATACATACAAACTTTCCGCTAGTTCCTCTAAACATTATTACTATCTTATCTTCTAAACCAAACTAGCTACACTATATAGTGTTGCAGTTACTGTAGTGACAGTGTTGGTGGAAACCAAGTGTTAAGAATGGAAAGATTGTTGTAAACAAGACAAACATATACCGTATGTTCTCGCGTATCAGATGAGGCTTAAAATACGAAATTAGATTGAAAAACAGAGGGTCGTCTTATACGTGCAACACATACAACTATTTTATATTCAATCTCATGCAGGTTAAGATTTTGATAAACATTTAAAGGCCCATAAAATTTTATTATATTTGGAAGATTATCCCTGTGTTGGCTCCATTTTTAGCCAGTTAGTTGCACAGTATCAAGACCATAAGAATCAGCAAAAAGTAGGAATCTGACGATGAAACAGGCGGTCATCTTGTACACCCGACATACAAAAAGTTGTCCAAAATTCTTTTCAAACTCAGCGGGTGTGTCGTCTTATATGTGGATCTCCTTATAACCACCAATCTACAACTCCACTCCACATTGAAGTTGTACTTGTAAGACCAGCCATTTCAGCTGTACTGCCTTATTTAAATAATTTGTATGCCTGAATAAAAAATAATTAATTTTTATTGATGTTTCTATAAAAATTTACAGAAATCTGTGACCGTGTGTTTGATATCGCCGAGACAGATATGCAGTCAAATAAACGCAAAGGCTCTGTATGGTTGTTGGAAGTGATGTTACTTATTCTGTGCCCTGTAAGTACTAATAGACTTTTAACATTATTTGGTTGATTGAGTATTGATTGATTTGGTTACAGGTCAATCTAAAACCTTTGAGTGAATGCAGAATATTCACTTTATTTTTTAACCAAACAAACGCCAAACTGCATGGAAGTTTACAAAACTATTAAACGAATTAAACAAAACAACATAGCAATTTATTATGTATAACTAAATCTGTAGTTTATGTAAAATCATTGCATTACACATATTTAACTTGAAGGTGTTACTTGGCGAGTTGCTTAGCTGCGAGTCAACAAGCCAGCTTGCTGTTAGCCATCAGAAGAAAAAGCATTTTTTAGAGAACATTCGGAGATTATTAAGCACACCAGGCAGTAACAAGCAACTGATGGAATACAGTGTAGTGGCTGCCGTCAAGCTCTGCAAGGCTGCCAGCTATGTTAACCGTTCTGATACGTCCATATACTTTCACATCGTGGAACCGCATATTGCTGACTTAAAGGTTAGTAAATTTTTATATTTTGATGGTGTTTTGCGTCACAAGATTAGTATAATAAGAATAATGTTTTTGCCCTACCTTAAAGGCCCATAAAATTGTATTATATTTGGAAGATTATCTCTGTGTTGGCTCCATTTTCATTTAATGCTCATTACATTTCCAAATACTTACGAAAGAATCTACACCATCAGAGTGTTTTATTGGATTTAATATTTTAAGAAACAAACACAAACAACATCGCCACTTGAAATAAGCATTGCTGGGAAACATAAAATACATGAAATCAACATCATCATCATTACCATCATCTCTAATCTTCCTTCATCATTTTCATAATCTTCATCATTGTCATTTTCATCATCATCACCACCACCATCATCATCATTAGTATCATAATCATATTCATCGTCATCATCATCATTATCATTATTATCATCATCTCACCATTATCATTTATGTTATCGTTTTGGTTTAAATGTCAAAAAAATTCAGCTGATGGTATCAGTGTTTTGATTGTTTGAGCTTTGGAGTCCCACGAGGGTCTTTTATTAGTCCGTCTATTTTTACTGCATTTAAAAACCAATAACAAGCATCTTAAGAGAAGTGGGTGTAATGTTTCATCTGTACGCTGACACCACCCAGGTTTATGTTAGTTGTGATCCGAAATCACCCAACGATGTGAACTCAGTTTTAAATACTTAAACTCAATGTGTCAGTCAAGGACGCTCCTGTATGTGGTTTAATAAATTTAAATTGAATGATGCTAAAACAGAATTGTTTTTTCACCACCAAGATTCGAACCCAGTTCACTTAATGTGAAGTTCTTTAATTAGGCCATCAAAAATTGTTAAAAATCTGTGTGTTCATTTCGATTAATATCTCACCATGAACTTGAATGTTTCTAGAACCAAAAAAACAACAATTAACGTTTACCTAAGAAATATTGCGCGTTGAAGACAATATATTGACCAAAAAACATGTGCTACTGCATTGCAGTCACTGGTTTTAAGTAGACTTGATTACTGCAACACCTTATTTTCAAGATTAACTAATAATAATAATTTTTTTTTGCCTTACAAATGTAAAATCACTGGATTTGACCTGCAGATTACCCTGGCTGTTTTTTTTTTTACAACAGTTCACTTTATGATGTGCTTTTGTTTGTTCGGACAGGTGCTTTTGTAATTTTGCTTGTTTTGATGTTACTGTAGTAGCGCTCAATAAATGAAATTTTTTAAAAAGTGTTGTTGATGCCTATAGATGTTGGTGGTCTCAAAAACAAATTTTTCAGCCTTCAGCTTCGTTAAAATTCATTGTTTTAATATATACATCAACTTGATTAACAGCTGTCATTTTGAGGCATTAAATAGAACTATTGGATCTAATATTATGTTTCTATTCCATATGGTTTATAAGAAAGGGAAAAGGATTTAAATGTAAATAATTTAATATGTTAAGCTTCATATTACTTATATTTATATTACTGTTGTTTATTACCAAAGTAAAACTAGTCTTTTCCGATGTATTATCTCAGGAAAAATACCCAAAAATGTCATAAAAATCATTTTTGGAATTAACTTGTTAATTTAGAAGTAACATAAAACTTATCAGCATGAAAATAGATGTTAGTGTATTTAAAAAACGTTTACCCGTAAATTACAGCGAAAATTAATAGAAACACTTCCAGTCACTGGAAGTGTTTATATTATTTTCATCAGTATTCAGTATAAAAATCAGGGTACACAGTTTTTAAATTAAATAATTTCTATGCTCAAGTTAATAATTTGCATATTACTACAAAATGAGCAAGGTAATTTCAAAAATTTCTTGTCATTTTAGGGGACAATTTATCTTTAAAAGAATCAAATTCACATTTACATAATTGAATACAGAAAATTGGAAAATGTCTACAGCTACATTGTAATATATAAATTTTTAAAAGCAATATTATTCTATAAGATAAATAGAATACAAACAGAGATTTAGTTAATTTTATTTTTGATTTAATATTTGTGTTACTCCTTTTTTTGAAAGCAAAATTTCAGGACAGTTTCTAAGAAAGCACATTCCCTTGAAATATTGAAATTGATGGAAACACAAAGTGAACTTCAGCTAAGTTTATCAGAAATGAGGAGGAAATGAAGTTACTAATACAATACCTGAATCAATTCATATTAGAAATTACCAAACAGAAAACGTAGCAATTCTTTAAGATACTGTTAAGAAAGTCAATCAGTACCTTCCATTGGTCAACGTAAAGTACTTATTCCTTGATGATTGCTAGTTTTGTAAAGTGGCGACGAAGGTAATTGAAAAATTACGAAATGAATTTGATACCGCATTGATGTGATTTCTGAAATTAATGCTATATATAAGATAGATAATTAGTTACTCATTAATTAATTAATTAGAAAAGAACGGCTAATAAGGAGAAACGGCCGACTGCAGTGCTGTGAAACGCATCCCTAATTTGGCCGGAAGCAAACTGTGAATGGACATTCACCATCAGAGGTCTAGATGGCCTATCAACAATGAAACCTGTATTGATTTGTTTTCAGAGGTGTAGCACAGAAATTACGATAGTTGATGGGGTTATTGAATGACCTGCTTTTCCATGAATGTAGAAAGCTTCTTCGCTATATATGACCTACATTTAGCTGGTGACTTATCAGCATTGAATAGGTTATTAACTATTAAATTTCTACAAAGCAGATTGAAAAACAGAGATTGAGATGCAAAGAAAAACAGTAGATGTACTCCCAGATCTCATCACCAATATTGGTTCATAAATGTGCTATAACCAGATGACCAATAGTGGTCTGTTTAATGTCAGATGACCAGTAGTGGTCTGTTTAATGTCAGATAACCAAAAGTGGTGTGATTAAATTCACACATGCAATAGTGGTCTGTTTAATGTCAGATGACCATTTATTGGTCTGTTTAAACTCGCATGGGCAGTGGTGGTCTGTTTAATGTCAGATGACCAATAGTGGTCTGTTTAAACTCACACAGGCAATTTTTTTTTTTTTTTTTTTTTTTTTTTCAGTTCAATTTAATTCAACTTTTTATTTCAGAATCACATATCCATAGCAAGAAAAACAAAAACAAAAGACAAAAAGAAATATCAGATACAAAGACTATGCATTCAGGGGTAGGCACGTCACTTCCCTAATGTCCAATTGTAACCGCGTACCCCATCATAACCGAACTATGCATTACAGGGGTATGAACATTAAACAATAGTGGTCAGTTTAATGTCAGATGACCAGTAGTGGTCAGTTTTAAGTCATATGGCCAATAGTGGTCTGTTAAATGCCAGGTGACCAATAGTGGTCTGTTTAAACTCACATGGGCAAAATCTATTTAAACTCACATGGGCAATAGTGATCTGTTAATGTCTGATGACCAAAGTGGTCACTTTAAAGTCAGTGAACATTAGTGGTCTCTTTAAAAAGTCGCATGACCAATGGTGGTCTCTTTAAAGTCACATGATCAATAGTGGTCTCTTTAAAGGCACATGATACTTAGTGTTTTAATGCTTAAAATATACATTGTTTATATTCAATACTTATAAACATACATGGCCTATATCTGAAATTAGCCATAATTATGCTTTCACAATAATATCACAGACTGCAATTACTTATACACAAGTGCAAGTGCTCTTTGTAGTGTAGCTTCATAATCCAATCATACTGATACTTTAATTAAAGCAATATTTATTGACTTACTTACAACAGTTTCGGTTTTATTGGAAATATTGATTGTATTTTTATGTACTATGTAATTTTGTAGAATACAGTAGGTATCTGGAGATCAAAAGAAATATTGATGAATATGGTCCAGATTAATATTTTCAGAGGCTATTGAAATTTTGTTTAATTCAGCTGATCATCTCTTTGATATTTATATTGTGTTAGTAGTTTTTAGTAATAATATACAGTATGTACATATAATACATATAGAATGAAATGTATGACCATCCATAACATTTTCTTGGAACGTTTATTACAGTCAATAATTTTGGAATGAATAAGATTATTTTCTAAATTACTATCAATTTGGTTCGTAATTGTGTGTAACTAGAGCTGCAGTCACTCGTACTGTGCATATCTCCACCCTGTACCTGAATACAGTACCAACAATACGAAGGCTGTGTATTATGGGCGACATTGCAGCAAACCCTCAAGAAAATAATGGAATCACCCCTGGTATTCAGGCACATGGTTTTCTTGAGTGCTGCCTAAATGCAAAGGGCGATTCCATTATTATTTTTTATGCTAGAGGGTGTAAAATCAAATTTCCTTGACCTTGTCCTTTGACCTTTCCTTTCAAAAATTGAAGTGGATCTGTTTTCGATTATCATGTACCATTTCACTAAATATTATGGTGATCAATTCATTAGTTTTTGTATAATCTTGCTAAAAGACAGACAGAATACATAACCTCCTTGGCGAAGGTAATAATAACAAAAGCAGACATAGTAACAATAATGATCAATCTGCATACAACATTGTTTCATTTTTTGAGGACTCGTTCAATGCAGCTTAGCTATTACTTAGCAAGGAAACAAGCAGGCTTATAACAAAGCAGTTTATTAAGTGTTCATTGTACCATACTGAGGGCCAGCAAAATAATAAGAGAAATAAATAAGAATTGTTTTTGCTTATTTATAACATTAATGGATAATTTTTTTTAATTATTTTCTGCTTTGTTGTTCATTTTTAGGCTTTACTTTTTAATGTTAACAAGCCCTTTACCAGAGGTCTCTTGTCATCCGACGTTGACTTAATGGTCGAGTGTGCAGTAGCTTGTTTTCGTATTCAACCAGACTATGCTGACCATTTCCAAGCGTGCTTGATTCCGTGCGCTCCGGCCCTCTTTCATCTCGTTCTGGTCCGTTCACTGCATACGATTATCACCCAGGTAAGTTTATTTTTAATCTGGATATTCAAATATATGGCCAAAGGCTGCTTACAAGGTGCGAGTATGACAAGTATATACAATAAAAGGCAAAAATAGTGAATGTAAAAGGGGAAAAATATTTTTTTTTTAAATATAAACTACATTTCTAAGACTTATATACATATTTTCCTTGCCTTGTAAAGATCTGCATGTAGTACACATACTGATAGTTTTTATTTATTTATTTATTCATCATAAGTACACTAGCTCTAGTCAAAAGAGGTGGAGTACCAATTTACAAATTCAATCAGAGTATTCCCATCTCTAATTGTAGAACGGACTAGTGAACTAAGACCAGCCATGCTGTTTTCTCATATTACAGTATTTAATTATTATGAATAATTGTTGATGTATTTTCTTGCCTTAATTCCTGGATTCTTATAATGGATTTGTGAAACTGTAGCTGTATTTTTAAGTCAGGTGAATGATTGTAAATGGTGCTGATCTACTTTGTGAATTCTTACCTGGGTAAAATAAATAGGTTTATCATCATCCAGATGATTAGCTAAATCCCACTGCTCACAAAAAAATTATTATTTTCTTTGCCTTGAGCGATGACCGCTGTAATGGTACCACCCAGGTTTTTTTGTTTGTTATTGGTTATTATCTCTCATACTTGCTGAGTAAATTATTGTTAACTTCATGTTTTGTTTTTTTTTCTGTTAACAGTCTTCAATGGTTTGGTGGCCTACAATTTCTTGCCTGCAATCAAAAGCAGAGGAAATTCGAAACTTGTTCAAAGAATGTGTTTTCAAATTGAACCCAACTCAACCAATAAGGGTTTGTATTTTGTGCTTTTAAACGTGATTGATTGATTGATTGATTGATTGATTAATTACTTGGATATAATATATCAATCTATCAATATTATACATATCAATTTATAATCATTTATAATGAAAAAATAATAATTTTAATATTCTTGTATGTATTATACCTTGTAACACATACATTCCAGAGTTCTGGCTTTAAATCCTTTAACATTTCAAAGAATGTTTCTCAAAACTAACAACTCCTCCCTTAAACCTCCTAAAAATACATAATATTAAATCCTGTAATTGTCCAATAATATTTTCTATGAAAGTGAAATAGTTATTTTTAAAAGCATGTAAATATTATTATGCAAAACAGAAATATGAGATTTAAATTATGTCTTTGTTACAGTCATTTCGGGAGAAGATTGGAATAACATTGAATCCAACGAGGCTTAAATCTCCAGACGAGTTGCCTAGCAACAAACAACTTCTTCTGTGGCTTGTTCGTCTCATTCATGCTGATCCCAAATTTATGCTGCAGGTGAGTGATATATAGAAAATAATATAGTGTAATAAGTAATTAAAATAATATTAGTATACAGGGATGTCACCAGCTTTTTGAAGTGCCGGTCGGCGATCATTCCGCGTTTTCCCGGGGGTGGGGGTGCCACCCCCCCCCCCATTTTCGCCGTATTCGTGAAAGCTCTTAAAAACCAAAAGGCCTAAGTAAGTCGAGCAGGCCTAGGCCCAAGGCTAGCTGACGCGATTTTTTTTGGCTAGTCCCAGGTAGGCCTAGGCCAGAATTTGAGGAATGCAACAAAACAGATGAAGATGAGACTTACTGTAGGCCTAATTAAATTCAATAGTTGACATGCTTTGTTTTAGATTAAAAAATAATAATGAACAAATCCTGGCGACAAAGCGTCGATCCGACTGTACCCAGCCGCATTGTTTGCTGTAATTTCACATGTTTGACGATTACCACGCGATGAATGTGTATGTCACTGATTCATGTGCACTCATTTATTTATTTTTTGTCCATTTACACACATTATATATCAATTATAATTAAAAGTGAAAAACTTAAAATACAAAATGAAAACAAAGTAAAGAAATAAAACACAAATCAGGTTTCGTAAATTTTTAATAATCTTCCTGCCCCGGACCATGATCTCATAATAAAACACTTGAATGGTCACGATTTCAACTTTAACCTTTGAATGTGTACAGAGCAACCGTGTCATGCAGACAGGTGTCATGCCAGCCCACGATGTTCGCTATGACTCAACTGGGCCTAGGCTGTTAAGTTAGCGATGAATAGCAGGGCAGTGCAGTATTTTGTTACAATTAACGTAACCACGGAAACATTTATTGTATTCGTATTGTCTTTTCTATCAATTTAGCTTGTCTATTGTGTTTAGGTAAACTAATTATTTTGTTACAATTTGTAAACTGTTGAAATAATAGTGGTGGTCGGGAGCCTGTAAATCCTGGTCGGAAATGTTGAGTGCTGGACGGGCCCGTCCACCGCCGACCAGCGTGGTGACATCCCTGAGTATAGTAATTAATAAATATTATTATTATATTTATTATCAATGATTGAATAAGTAAATAAATTATAACAAATAATAAACATGATACAACCAAGTGTTTCTTGAATGTAATTATCATTGATAGTTGTTGTAATATTGTTATGTTTAATTAATAATTATGGAATAAATAAATATATAAATGATGATAAATAATAAACATACATGATAACATTTATTTATTTCCATCCATTTATTTACACATTTTATTTATTTATTTATATATATATATATCTATGTTATTTTTCTTGTGATCCTGTTTAGGCATGCCTCCCACAAACTTTTGCATTTTTGATTATGCCTTCTACATTGTACTATTTTTCATTTTGAAGAAAATTAATGTTACTTTAATTGATTGATTGATTGACATTTGTTGTAGAATACTGGTCGCCAGGGACATGAGATGCAGAAAAGCACTCTGGAGCTGATCATGAATCTGGTTACCCTGATGTGTCAGTACCACATCATGCCAGAGGTGTCACAGGAAGCCATGGGAGCTCTTTTGAAGCTTCACCAGCCAGAGAACATTGAACTGTGGAATAGAGAGGCTTATGTTGAGACATTCTGGTCTATAAGGTATTTCCCTAGTAAAGCAAGTGTTAATACAGTTCACCTTCCAATTCAAGACTAATTTGGGATATATGAAAATTTGAGGTGGTTTTGGGGTTTGGTCTACACTTAGAGAATAAGCTTTGTGCTAAGAGGTGGATTGTTATTGGGTCTCACAAAAGCTGATCAACCAACAAATCAAGGTATTTAAAAAGGTGGTCTCGAATTAAAGGGGTCTTAAATTGAAGGATGCACTGTATCATAATCATGTGATTAAAGATAATTGATGTCAATACAGGGAATTAAATAAATCTTTTCTACTGGACTTACTTGTTTATTCAGTAGCAATATTTTGCTTCCAATCCAGGACACATCATCACGCCAACTGGTGTTCTGTGGCTAAAAAGGTCATTGACACTATACTTACCTGGATGGATAATAATATTCACAAACGTTAAGATAATTAATGTGTTTCTCCAATCCAAATTTAATAATATGTGGTTTATCAATCCAATGCATATTGTAAAATACCTTGAAAACGTACTCTTGATCCATAAAGAATTTAATATATGAGTCAGTATTACTTTCTTGGTCCATTTTTCCATGTTTATGTTAAGCTCATAGATGTCTCTATAATACACGCTATACAAGTCAACCATTATTATTATATTTGAATTGTTTAAAGTTTTGAATCTTGGTTTTTTTTATTTCAGTTATCAAGTATTGTTTTCAGTCTCACAAAAGCTGATCAACCAACAAATCATGAATGTTATTGACATCTTGAAGTGGTTTAGTGAAGTGCTTGCACTTAGGAACAAGTTCTTAAACAAATTCAAAGACCATGCCACTGTTAGTCAGTACATACCCAACATGAGCAAAGCACAAAATGTTCTTGAGGTATGTTGCTCATTTTGCTGTCTGTAAATGTTGATGTTGTTTTTGTATAGAATAAAATAAACTTAGATATATTTTCTGCATTAGGTGAGACTTTTTTATACCTTGTTTAACAAACCCACTGCCTGCCAATAATGATGATTACGAAAAGAAATTAAATTTTATCTTTGGCCAATTAATGCACTCCTGCCATGAAAAAATATAAAAGTTTTTCTTTATTTTTATTACACCCGCTGCTGCCATGAAATAAAAAATAAGATATGTATTTTTGTTCCTAATTATATAAATTTAAGGCATTTAACCATACCATTACTACACTGTTTAGGCGAGGCATTTTTTTGTATGTTGTTTAGCGAACCCACCACCCACCAATTATGGTTGCTTAGCATGAAAATAAAACTTCATTTTCGGCCAAATAGCACACCCACCACCACAAAATATGGAAATTTTTGATAAATAAGAAAACAATTTTTTTTTTATTGCCCCCCTCTTTCCCCCCCACCCTCACTGACGATCTTTAAAAAAATAGTTTCGCTAAACAAGGTATTAAATTGGCTGTTTTTATATTGTGTAGGTTGTGTTCCTGATGCACCTGTGTAGTTCTGATTTGGAGACTGTGTTAGTATCAATGTCTTGCTTTGGACACCTGTGCGAGGAAGCTGACATCTGCTGGGGTGCTGATGATTACTACATCCTCCAGGTGGTTCCCAATTACAATGTATATGCAGAGTTTGCTTCAGAGAGCCGCTACAACCGCACAGGTAGGGATCTTTGTATGTGTGTAGCAAGAACGCACATCTGTTGACAAAAAACACGTCAATTCTTGAAAGAGTGCCACCTTGCCAGCATTGATCATTGTTAGGTCACTGTGGTGACCTTTATTATTTTGCTTGAATTCTCTGGTTGAAAAATTTGATTCTGATTTGAAGGTAGAATGCAGTATTGAGAAACAGTATTTTTACTAATGTTATGGTTAAACGATCAGTATTCAGTTGTTATACTTCATTGTGAATTCTATTAGCTAAAATACTATAAACTGTAAACAAATCATTTCACTTGAAATTAACATTAATTAATCCATTAAAGAAATACACCTTTTTTTAAAAAAAATTTTGCTATGGTTTTTATACACAAGGCTTTCATATCAATCTTTGCTATTACTTAAGTGTTCTGAATAT